GAGCGCACGCCGGCGGCCCCGCGCGCGCCGGGAGGAAAGGGACAGGATGCACCGCAGGCAGCCGCGAGCTGGGGCCTGGGAGTCACGCCGCCTCCCCGGCAGCTGCACGCACCTCCTAGCTGCCCGGGTCTGCAGCCCCCGCCCAAGGGCCTGAGCGCTGAGGGGCTGGCACAGTCCTGCAGGGCACTGACCAGGCGGGAGGCCTCCGGCTCCCAGTGACCTCGGGGAACCCTGTCCTCTGCCTAGGGCCTCACCCCTCGTTTCCGAATGCAGGCAGCAGTTGCTACCCCCTAGTCCCAGCTGCCCGGTGAGGCCTAGGTGGCAGCAAGCAGGGGGCATAAAGACCTTCGTAAGGCAGAGAAGGGGCTGTCCAGGCACCTCTGAGGGCTCACTTCCAGGAAACCCACCCCACGCCAGGAAGTGGGGGTCTGACTCCCCTCAGGCCTTGCTCCCTTCACTGACCCGATTCCCAGGCACATCACCAACTGCTGGTGAGGGCAGTGCCAGGTGAGCCACCAGCACCATTTCTGCAGGCTTGCCTCACGGGCTGGGGCCTGCAGCGGGTGGAACGGGCCTCACCTGGGCAGTTATTAAACCCCTCGGAGAATGAGAACCCAGGGACATGGGTTCAACCACGAGGGGCCATGCCGATGGTGAGCAGAGCACCCCAGATGCTTCCAGAACCATGTGGCGTTGGTGAGCTGGGGTCCCCACTGCTCCCCGATATGCTCAGGCTTCTCCCATTAAAATTCCACCCTCCATCCTTCAAGGCCTGCTTCCCGCTGGCGCCTCTCCTGGGGAGAACTTGGTTATAATTGGTCCTCTGCCTTCCACGACCCTGCTGTTCTGGGTTCAATGTCCTGAACCAGCCCTGACCAGGGGTCTCCTCAGAGCAGGCTAAACTCTGACTCCTGGCTGGGACCCTTGGCCACCATGTGTGAGGTGCGGGGGCTCGGGCTGCTGGGGTCCCAGGCCTGGGGAACTGTATGAAGTTACCGACAGGGCTGTCTTGGGGAGGTGGGGGTACGGCCTGGCCACTGGCTTCTGCCGCAGGTGTGTCTCCGAACCCCCACCCTTAGCCAGGACCCTCCTCTGAGCCCACGCAGGGCAGCAGCCCATCTGATCTGCATGCAAGCGCCCCAGCGCTGGAGCAGACACTCGGCTGTCTTCTGTTCTTGTCTCTTCAAGGTCAGAGCCGAGTGGGGACAGGAACAAAGGCGGCTCGTCCCCCATTCAACCTCCCGCCGGCCTCTCCCCAAGGAAGACCAGGAGGGAGGCTGGGCGAGCGGCTGGAGGCCTGGCCTCAGGCGAGGCAGCAAGCCAGGGACCTTTGCCTGCCTGGGGACTTGGCAGCCCCCCCCCCACCACCCGAGACAACCACCAGGACAGGGCTCAGCCAGGGCTGATGGGTCATTCTGGGGTCTGCTTTCCTCTGGAGCCGAAGGTCACGGGTCAGGGGTTAGACTGGCCCAGGCCAGGAATGGGTTGTAGGCCACACCAAGTGGGTCTTGATGGGGCCTGTCCCCCAGCCTGCATGCTGGCCTTGAGGTCCTCACTGGTTGTGGTGGGAGTCGGGGTTGGGGGTGGGTCATGGCCTGCTCTGACCTAGCCCTTATCCCTAACCTTCACCTGCCTGACCCCTGTGTCCTACCTGCCCCCCCCCCAGTCCCAAGGTGAGTCCTCAGGGTTCTGGATCAGCGTCCAGATACACCTTAGCCTTCAAAGGCCACAGCCCGCACAGGAATCTAAAAATATGCAGGCAGAAATTTCTCATTACAGAATAAATTGGACCAGGTTCGCCGCCTGCCCGCCTGCTCAGCCCGGCAGTTTCAGGGCCTCTCAGGCTGGTAGGGGGTTCTGGCTTCTGGCCTGGGGGTGGGGACCCCAGCTCGTGGGCTCTGGGTCCTGGGCTTTACATCCACACTGAAGACGGGGGTGTCCCCTAGGGCTCTGCTGGCTGTCCGCTCAGTGTTCCCTCCATTTCTTGTAAATTCAAATTACTCCAAGCCCAGTGCAGCCAGACCTTGACTCCCAGCCCTGACCTGATGTGACCAGCGACCTCCTAGGCCAGCAAGGGGACCCTGCTGATGTCAGACGTCTCCCTCTGAACCCTTCCTGGATCCGTCCCTCCTCTCCTCTCCCTCCCCCTCTTCTCCCTTCTTCCCATTCGTTCCCCCCTCCTTCTTCCCCCTTCCCTCCTTTCCCCCTCCCCCTCTCCCCTTCCCTCCTCTGCCTCCCTC